TTCGGCTTGTGGCCGAAATTCATGCAAGAAACTTCATCTTCATCTTTTTTAAGCAAGCAAGCAAGCAGAAGATAAAAAGCCCAACGCAACCTCAAACACGGTGTCTCCCTCGAAGCCAGCACCGCCAGCCTGGTTTTTCCCGCCTGTCTCAAGCTGCCTGCACATTGTGCTGCAGCTTACTCTTCCTTCCCGCTGGCTGAACCGACACCATGATCTCCTCTTCTGTGCGCCGGGCGGCTTTGCCTTCAACGGCCTCACTGCCGTCTCGAGCAGTCCTCCTGGCCGTGTCATCGAGCAGTCCTGCAACCGGTCCTAGTAGCGGTAATACCCCTTACCGCCATCAGCGACGATACTCGTCCTCAAAGCCTCCGGTTCCGCCAAGTGACGGGTCCAGAGGTATCGATCCGCCGGCCCAGACGCCGGCAAAGAGCGTCAGCAGCGGACCGTCGAGCAAGAAGGATGTAGAGAAGAGAGAAGGCCGGTCTTCCAAGAAGCGTGCAGGGAAGGATGGCGAGATGGCAAAGTCGAAGCAGGCGAATTCTTTGAAGTTGCCGAGTGTACCCTCCACGCAACACTTGCATCCTCACGGTTAGTCTCAACCATTTTCCCTCTCTCTCTCTTTTTATAACATAGAATGCTTGGTGCTGATGGTAAGATATTCCAGACGTTCACGTCGCGTCGTTCTTTTCTATACACCGACCCATGTCGATAACAACCTCCGTGCCTCCGAACAACGACGGCAAGGCCTTCTCGTCCATTTTCTCGCCCAAGAAGCAAGCCGCCGCTAGACAAAAAGATGTGATATACACCCTCTCGTCTGCCGTTAATGCGATCGAGCAGAACCTCTCAGGCCAGCAACAGGCGTCTGTTGAGGATATCGACCTTAGGAACTCCATCACGCAAGCTTCGTCGATGCACGAGTCAGACATCGCCCACCTCGACGGAGTGCCTACACAGGAACTACGAGCTTCCATCCAAGAATTCGCCAAGCGTCTGCGGCCATTCAATCCTCCACCAGCTCCCACTCCAATGGATAGCGCTTTCAAGAGCACTGCCAGCATGGAGTCTGCTGCTGACAAGCCCAGCGCCGTAGAGGCCGCTTCACAGTCCAAGCCAATTGAACAAACTTTTTCCACCGTCCTCACTATCCGTGAAAGCCGTGATGCAAATGGAAGCAAGTCCTACGTGGCCTTTGCCTCTCCCTTCGTACGCGTGGACGATATGGAAGCTCCCTCCGCCCATGGTGAGTCATCCATTTACCAGGAGCAAGAGGGTATTGATCGCTCTGTCTCCGAGCCAAAGCAAAGTTTCCTTCAGCGTATGATCATCAGACAACTACGGTGGGAACGGTCCCAGGGCCAACGACAACGCGAGAAACTGTATACTATCAGCGTCAGGAGACAGCGGAAACTGAAGATGAAGAAGCACAAGCACAAGAAATTGCTAAAAAAGACAAGAACGCTGAGAAGGAAGTTGGATAAGAATTAGCATTCCCTATTTTTATTCTCCCTCTTCTTTACCTAGGCTAAGTCCAGGTATCATTTGCATATACCTCCTCTGTTCCCCTTCTCTTCCATATTTCTTCCCCGTTTGACTCGAATTCCTATCTATGCATATCTTGAGTGTTCCTTTTTATGCCCGGCGTTCCTATCTTGCTTTGATTCGAATGTCTAGATAGTTTTTATCCATCCTATTATCTCCAATCTTAGAATATGCATCTTGTATTGGTAACCTTGAGCTCCTTCCTTTCTTTTGATACACATGCTTCGGTGGCACATTTTACCTATACATCCCTGCGTCAATTTTGAATTACTTACGTTGGCAAGCTGTTTATATGGTAGAATTCCCCGCTTTATAACCGCTATCTGTTATGATACAATTATCCGCACTACTGTCAAGAAGACAAAACGACAAACTCTTAAACATAACGAAATAACGTGAATACATGTGAAAAGCAAGGAAAGAATTAAGGTAAAGAACAACTAAGGATATAGATGGTAAAATCGGGCGGTTTGGTCCTCAGCTGCGTTTTGTATCCAAATAGAGGAAGATATCGGCCGGGACGTAGTCACAGAATGATAGCTGATGATGGCGTTAGATTATATACTCGTCGTAACCCCCCATTTCTATCTCATTGACTGATGTCCGGAATTCGTCAGAAGAGTGTATGCGACTTAGGATGCTCGTCGATGGTAGTTCTTGACGTTTTCCCTTTAGCAGGTGGCTTCAAGACTGGCGCGGGAGTTCATCAATAGAGCAACAATGAGACCATAAAGACCTAGAACATAGTGAGGTTAGAAAAGCCTCGAGGCGAAGACGGTTGGCAAGGAGAATACTAACCCAAGACTTCAGCGAAAATGAGAATAAGAATCATACCGACGAAAAGTCGGGGCTGTTGAGCAGTTCCACGGACACCAGCATCACCAACAATACCGATAGCGAAACTGTGATTTCGAAAACCCCCAGTTAGTATCGCCAAAAACAGTGAAAGTAGCGCTTTTCCTAGAAAGCGAATGGATATATAAAGAAGCACGTACCCAGCGGCAAGGCCAGCAAGACCAACAGCAAGGCCAGCACCGAGCTGGACGAATCCGGTGTATAATGGCAAGTTTTGCTTCAAGTCGTTGGCAATCAAGACAGACACGACCAATCCGTAAATACCAATAATACCCGCCATGACAATGGGGACAATATCTGTGTACGGTCGTTAGTATGGAAGCCACGGTCATATATTAGAGTAAAAGCTCTGGATGCAAGGTAAAATCATACTCTTAACAATCATATCAGGTCGGAGGACGAGAGTGGAGCAAATACCAACACCGGCTTTGGCAGTGCCATAGGCGGCACCGAAGCAAGTGAAGATGATGGCGGATGAGCATCCTAGCGCACCGAAGAAGGGCTACACAATGCCAACAAGTTGTCAGTATTCGATTGATGAACTTAGATGATGTGATTTTCGTATTGATCCGAACGGTTCATTCCCAGCTCTCAAAATTGAAGTTCGCCTGGGCCCCGTCGACGACAAGGCGAGAGAGGGTTCAACTAACCGCATATACAGGGCTATCAACACACAGAAAAGAGCGATGTTAGCCAAATATATCTCAGATTTAACCCGCTATATGAGCAGTAACAAGGGAAAAGACAGCGATGGAAAGCGCCGTTCAATCAAGCCAGGCAACTCACCAAAGATCAGTGGACATGGTGACGGTGGTGTGAAGACAGCTTCAATAAACAAAGTACCGAAGGTAGGTGTGCGGGATGATGGCTGATAGAGCAATGTATCCAGAGACGAGCCGGTAGAGTCGAGGAATAATGAAAGATGGCGAGTTGCTTTCTTGCTTGACCCTTACAGATGTTGTTAAGCTGAGGTTTGACTTTTGGGTCGTTGCCGGTAGATGCCAAGCGTCACGTGGAATATATGCTGACTAACGATCGATATAAAAACGGCAGAAAATGTAATATTGGTATTATGGATTGTGTTATATATATCGTACATGTCTATAGTTTACATTCTAAAAAAAGACGGCTCTTCAGTCGGTATTTCGACTACTATTCGTGCTCCAGGAATGTCAATCTTGGTGCCTGAGGCTAGGACTGCCTCTTCAGTGAAATCGTCGCATTCACCTGCAACCCTCGAGTAGATCATGGACTTCTCAGAACAAGCTCCAAATTTGTTAGCTTGTACAATAACTTGCTCCGGCTGATTGGTTTCGCCATGCAGAACCTTATTAGGCAAAGACACAGGAGCATCGGTCAGAGCAGGCAGAACGGAGAAATCCAACACAGTCTTTCCTTTCGTAGCGCCTTTATGCATCGCCAAAATCTCCAAACGCGTAGATTTTTTGTCCAAGGTATTGTCCAACGAAGCGACAAAGAATTGCACGATGTCACCGGCTGTCACAACCTCGCGTAAGGGACTCATCATCAGTCCATCAACGTCTGTGAACTTGGAAGTACTATCCAGTATGCTGAACAGGATGGCATCATCGCTATGTTTTTCAGAAACATCTTCATCGAATATCTCATGTATTGAGACGAGGTTGGATATCGGTTCTTCGTCATCGTATGAGTACTCGGGATCAAGGGAGAGCAGGCCTTTCTTCTTTCCCCATCCTCCACCACCGCTCATTACTCGGTAAAGTCGTGATCCTTTTTTCAAGGCAGATGATATATCGATACCACCGCCGGAAGAGGATCCAATGTGAGCCTCTGCTATGCTTTTTGGTGTCACCATTGCCCAAACAGCTAGTCTCTGGCTTTCAAGCTTGTGGTCCTTGATATATTGTGGTATTGCCTTTTCCAGCTCCGCCGATGCTGGAATATCATTCTCCAGGGTTATTTTATTGGACACGGTTTTGAGTATGTTTCCCATACTTTCTGCCACTGTTCTTGGTGCGGTAACAGGGTGCAACGGAGCGTGAAGAAGTGTGAGCGTGGGTTTCGTTCGTAGCTCAACCCTACAGGTTCTAATGTCACATCTATCCGTGATCTTGGCGATCTTGTTGGTTGATTCTGTAGATTTCCATCGTGACGCGTACATGGTATATGGCCTACCAGTGGTGAAAAGCGTATTGGCCATTGGCATTCCAACCTCGAGTTCCGTGCTAGTCGAGGGGTCTCGGACAGCAATTGAGAGCTTAGGCTCCATGTGGGTAGGGGAGATATCTTCAATACCTCTCTTTGGTACAAGTTTCCCTGTTATCGCGCCCCAATTGACAATCGCCAGTGATAACCCTTCTGCGCCGTTGTTTGTAACATCACCAGACACAGGCAGCTTATCAACCACTGCTTCCACGGAGCATATCTCAAGATTTTCAGCAGAGATTGCTTCTCGAAAGCAATGCTGTAATAACTTCGGAAGGAAAACATGATCTTTTTCTAGCCATTGAGCAAATGCCGGCGTAACGAGGAGGAGAGGAACATGGCTGTCAGGGTGTAGTTGGGAGCTGAACGTGGGAAGCTTCGATAAAATACTATCTGCTGTCTGTTGCTTGTTAAATACGGATGAATTGAAGGGTGTATCGGTAGCACATACCACTGTTGATGGGTTTGGGGTCAGTACAGTAGCAGAGCCCAGTATATTCCATTGAATATTCCCAATGCGTAGTGTTTGTCTCTGTGTTGCTGCTGTAGCTGCTGTCCGGGAGAACTGCGCTGGCTGATGCTTCTGCCACGGTATTTTACCAATAAGCTGCCGTTCTGTCCGGCCAAGACAGCATCGCAAGGAAGCTGACATGGGCACTATGCCTTAGAGAGAGGAAAGGGCCTACATATAACTCGCAAAATATAAGATTGATATATCTACATGTAGCATATCTTCTTTTCCCTGAATTTCCGCTCAAATAAGACTTGGCGATAAAGCTTGGCATTTCCATTCCTAATTCAACTCCCCAAACAGGATCAATACCAACAATCCATCCAGCATTCTTTTAAACAACAGATACACTTCTATTTAGCTACCAGTTGATATATGGTTTCAAGCTGTTTGAGAACAAAAGATTTAAGGGTCTCTATATCCGGGATTCAGCTTAGGGGAAGAGCAAAGGGTCATTAACTAAACGATTCATATCCTCAGTCCGAAGACGAAGAGAGATATCCACACCATTCCTAGTCCAAGAGCGCGGCGAGTCATCTCCATCAGTGGTATTCTCCCTCAATGGCGGGGCCTCCTTTATCAAGACATTGCCGTCCATGTCTGGTACCATGCCGTCGGCATAGCGAATCATGGGTGATGATCTCAGTCCAAAATCTACTTCATAAAGACCCGCACGCGCCCATGTTGTCACCAGGATATGGCGTCGACCCAAGAATGCCTGCCAAATTCTCTGTGGCGAATCCTCATACGCTAGGCTATGAAGATGAGCGGCAAGAAGAGCCGGCTGATTCACTTGGCTGATAGTCTGACGGATATGTTGTGCAATGGGCTGTAAAACCGGAGTGTTTGCATTCCCAGAAGATTTTAATGTGGCCGTTACGGCCACTACTGGAAGCTCAATGTTTATCATGATGACGGGTGATCCCATAAAAGATTGACTGAATTTAAACGCAGGCCGCACTCCTAATACCAGGTTGCAGTGAACCGGTTGGTTATTTTGTTCCAGCTTCCGAGCACGATTTATACAGGACCAAATATGGGCTAGTATAGCATCGTGCTGGCTGAGGCGGCCTGGGGCCGTTCCAGTGGAGGATCCATCAGATGAGCGCGTTGAGCACTTCACAATAAGGTCTACCTGATATTGATTCAAGTGAACGACATAGTGCGAGACAGGCTGTGTTACATCCCAATCCGACCATGGCATCGGTTTGCCAGCCGGTAGAATCTCCTTGCCGGCTAATGCATCCGGCACCTTTATGGGCCAGGGGCAACCAGGCGATGGTGTCCACCAGTCGTATCGATGGAGGGGCATGCTTTCAGCCTGCTTAACGATTGCTGAGTCTGGCGTGTCGGCCTCGATATCACCTGAGGCTAAGGAGTCCAATAGCTCTGGCTTAAACTGAGGCCGTAAAACTGATAAAGGCTCAATTGAGAGGACTGATCTGCTGACGCTGGCCCAGTCCTTTACAAAGTGAACTAGTGACTGCACGTCGGCCATGGGATGGACACTATTTACTCCCAATATGAACCCGCCGCAGGCCAAGCTTGTCATTTGGACGGCCAGCAAGGGTGCGGGAATACCCTCTTTATCCACGGGGACAGGCTGCAGTGCTTTTGATAATGGAGTCGAAGGGACAAACTCCTTCAATGGTACATTCTGCCGGTTCCAGAGAGGCTGATCTGTCATGCGATAGGCTGGAGATAGCATATCGAGAGTTGCCGTAGAATCAGCGACTATAAACTCGACCCCAGGATCTTGGGGGTTCCCATAATGAACATGAAGTCGACCGAGGCGACGTGTATGGCGTGGGCGGTCGGCTGCATATGTCTCCGTTGTACCGTCGAGGGTAGTTATGCCATAAATCTGGCCACACCATTGCGGGTAGGCGTCCAAAGTGGTCCGGAGCGACTCACGAAGGTGGTCGGCTAGGTAAAAGCTGTCGTCTCTAATGCGATCTGGGGCTTCACACAGCCAGACCACACATGTGTGAGCAAAATTGAGTGTAGTTGCATCGAGGAGTGAAAGTGCTATCGTTTGCTCCGGTCCCAGTTTTGTTTTGGGAAATAGTCGTCCAGACTGTAAGATGGAAGTCTTGAAAGAATGCATTATTGCTATCCTAACGCTGGTGGCTACAGGTTTAGACAAAATACTGTTCCTTAATTGCAATTGAAGGCGGCGGAGGCACAAGAATTCCTTGCTTAAATATATAGAAGAATATCTAAATCAAAGTAACGATCCTACGTTGTCAGGGTTCCGATTTGGACCACGTTGATAGCATCAACTCCTGACTAGTGTTGGCATGTCCTTGTATCCTGACTCATAATGATAAATGAAATGGCTAATAATAGCGTTAAATTCCAGCATAAAGACAACTTCCATTAAACCCTTGAAAGGATTTATTTTGTGTTAATGGTTATATACCGTCATGGATATAACATAAACGTCGCCAGATAATATCCAATAGGCCGAACATCGACTCAAGGGAATATGAGTGTAGACAGTTTTTAATAAATAAAACGTACTACCCCTGTCCGATCCCTGCAACTGTCTGTACTATGTAAGCAATTTATAGAGAGCACCAATCCTACACGGGACTCAGCGGATGCAGTTAGCAACGCAGCAGGGAAAAGAAAGGAATGTTATCGATGGAAATACGCTCTCAAATGAGTCAAAAGCACAAACTATGGGCTCATACTCCATCATCCTGAGCCTAGTGGGATCACCACACGTATACCTCGTGTTCCATTCTTAGGCCGCGGAATAACTCGATCATAATATCTCAGCATAGATGCACTAGAACGGCTTCATTATCCCATTGAGGCGTCGAACCAAGAGCCCGATAAGCCAGGTAAAGCTCTGCATGGACTAGGCTGTCAAGGTAGAGTACCATTCGCAGGGGTGTTGAGAAATAAAGGGAAACAATATACTTGATCCTGATACACTGTTGGGTGCCACGCAAAGAAAAAAAAAAAATTCAGGAGATATTCGTCCAGCCATCGTTCTTACTGAGCATGTATGGGCTAGGGAGGATGTCAGCTAGGGTCCCGCTGGGGGTTTGGTATTCTACGACATCGGCAGAACTCGACGACTGCATCCTAGGCTTTTGGTGATTTGAAGTACGTTGGTCCGATAGGGTTGATGCGCTGTGGTTGGGTACCCACGTTGTAGGACAGACACTGACCTCTGCGGATAACGGCACTCGGGTAGGGAGGCTTATCCAATTCGTTCCAACTTACACGTTGGTAGAGGGGGATGGCATCACTCGGTAGTCTTACCAATATTTCAGAGGTACCAAGGATGTAGAATAGAGTGGCTGTTAGCGCCCAAGCGGTAGTTTCTGCACCAAGACCAACAATGATTCGACCGTCCCATCATAGCCGCTGAAGTAGTTTTTCTTCGTCTCCGGTTAGCGTTGAGAAGGATGGAACAGCGGTATCCAAGGGACGGTTGCATGGCAACGGGCTTCGGATTAAGGTTCTAGGGAGTAACATTGATCTTCCGTGGAGAATAAATGTGCCGCGACAGGGATAGAATCGATGTCTAGAAGATACATAAGACTGAAAATACCAAGCCCATGTTCGATTAAGTGGAATGGCGGCCGTTGGCATCTTGTATTTCTGGGGTTTCGTCGATGGCTGCGGGATGCCCCATCCCATAGTCCTAGGCATATCGTGTGTAGGGCAAAGGAAGCTGCATCACGTGTACGGAACATCGTTTATCCGCCCAACGGCAGAGGCGCCGGCAGGTCTCGGATGTGAGGAAGACCCAAAGTAGGTGTGTGTATGTACCTGGGCCACCAGGAACAGCTTGCCCCCGTCAAGTTATCCAAGGTCGCCTTGCGGGACCCAGCCCTGGAGACGTCAGACGCCAGACATCAGAGGTCGCCATCGCAGCTTATGCACGTAGAACAAGTAATGACATGTCTTGCGGTTATGTGTATGCAAGCTGCTTGTAGGGAGAAGCTGAAGGATGACGTAACTAGGCGGGGGGGGCAGATCATGAGAAAAGCCACAAGGCATGACTATTACGCAAGAGGAAAGACACTTGGGGATACTTCTTTGTCCGCCTAAACTCACTAGGAGAGGAAGTATCTTTAGGTACCTCTTATCTGCAGCTGCCAGCCCAACAAGGTAAACATGACCCACATGAGGACTAGCTTCCCTCACGGCGACCTCTGGTTGGCCAGCCTTAGATGACTAAGCAGTAAGCTTGTGTTTTTCTTTCCCTTTCCAAAAAGGCAAAAAGATGGGCCGAAGCCCCAACGAAGGAAAGAGCAAAGGTCGAAAAGGTCTTTTTTTCCCTCTTTCCTGGTTAAATACCTGGGCTTGTCCGACGCTTTCTCTCCCTCTTCACCAACTTTCCCCCCTTCTTCTTCTCTCTTCTCCCAACACTCCAGCTCACCCCGTACCGAAGAGGCCCTTATCGCTCTCGCTCTCTCTCTCCATCGTTTGTAAGCCCATCGTCAGCTGTACCAGCTCTACCGCTCTCTTACCGCTACAAGCCCAAGATGGCCTTTACCGCTTCGTATGTGGTTTTTGTTTTCCCTTGTGACTCCTGTTTGTTTTGCTTTTTTAGCTTGAGGCGACTGTTTTATACTGACAGCTTCTCTCTTCTCCCTTCTCTCTCCCCAACAGCGACATCTGCAAGATCATCCTTGCCATCATCCTTCCGCCAATCGGTGTCTTCCTCGAGAGAGGATGTGGTGCTGATCTCTTGATCAATATCTGTTTGACCATCCTGGGCTACATCCCCGGTATCATCCATGCGCTGTCAGTACACGCCCTCTTTTATATCCCTCCCCGCTGCTAACAGGAAAAAAAAAACAGATACATCATTCTCAAATACTAAGTCGCCGCAACCCATCGGGACAAAGTGAAACTCGGCGACACGTCTCCAGCGTGTCTGATTTTCTCCTTCTTCACGACGGAACGAGAATCGATATGCATGTCTTTTTTTTTGACGAACTTGGACACTACAGACGCCGTACATATGCCGAACCGTCTCGGTTTCTTGTCGCATCTCCGTCTATTGTTTACTTAATACTTCCCCCTACTCCCTCACCGTTAATGATGGTCTGATCACTGCACATGAAATTAAAAAGACAAAAAAAAAAGCACGACTCTCCCCGGATGTTAATGTCTTCTCTGCCTCTTTTCTTTTCCTCCCCCATGATACCACGCTTTCGTCCCTAGCTGTGTTTGTGTTATTTCTATTACATCGCCATTCCGGTCGTCTCTCTTCTCTTGAACCGGGATAACTTTTTCGAGGGGGGCTTTGTTGTCTTCCTCGTTTTTTGTTTTGTTCCCCTGGCCCTTCCTTTCTGTATTAGGCTTGGTTTTGCCTTCAAACTTCTCCCTCTCCAAGGATTAAGCATCAGAATTCGATAGAAGTCGGGAAAGAAAAATATGGACAAATACAAAGTCCCTCTTTTCAACCTTTATACATCTTTTTTCATCTAGTTGCAGGCTTTGCAAGTCCTTGTCATATTTCCGAGACGCAGGTTGGTTGGGACCTCAACCCGTTCCCACAGCTATATGCCGGAGGATGTATAACGTCTACATAGTATGTCCATGTTGACGTCAAACCTCGGATCAACAATAAGGTTTTAAACGGTTATCGACTTTGTAAGCTTTTTTCTTTTTTTCTTCCCCTTCTTTATTACCCAGCAGTCATGTCTTTCATCTATTTCATGCTTTTCATCTATTTATATATTGTTATATCGTCAAGATTCGGCTATATAACCTTCCCCCACCTTCCCGCTGATACTTGTTCATATATATATATATTACATATACGAAGTATATTGTGATCGACGACGGGGATGCCATGCATGTCCCATCTTATCTTGTTGCTCATCTTAAACCTCGTTTCTCCTCACTTTCGTACTGCATCTCTGGTAAAGTTCCGAGTCGAACCATGGGGCTCTTCCGTTCCACCGAAGCTAGGGCTTCGAAATGCAAGGGCAAAAAAGTGTACAACCGTAAAGGTAGATGGCAAGATGCGGGTATTAGTGCGGTCGATGCGCTAAGACAAGAGCCAGTTTTATGTATATACGGGGCGCGGTTCCCCTTAAAAAAAGGCATATGGATCAGCCGGGTATGTAAGTGTTCGTTAGCGTCAGGCACCGCGGCCAATAAACGTATATCATCTCCCCTTTGCTCCGTGGCCATCGTGGCATCAGTTCAAGAAGCGGGAAAAGAAAACGTATACCGTTATCTTATCCCCCGCAGTATTCGACCTCTTCGGTGATAAGGATCAAGACAGGCTTTCGTCTCCCTCTGGGGTTGAACCGTACGGAGATCTCTCGACGTAGCCGGAGCAGAACGTCTAACCAAGGCCCGTGCCACTGTTCATATCTCACTCTTTAAGCGAGAGAGAAGCTCGGCTCTAAACGAGCTGCAGGGACAAAGTCGATCGTGATCGTGTCTCTATCGTAAATATTTTGCCACAGGAAGGGCGAAAAAAGCAAGGTGATGGAGTTCGAATGGCATCACGGCGGCTGTCGATGGGATGCTCTGATAGCTCAAGAGCAGGTTGCAGGGCAGAGAAGGCGAAACACGCTCCGCCCTTGCATGTTCCATTTTCTCCAGCCCACGAACGCTGGACACGATGAGGCATCATCCCACGGACACGGCGTAGGGGGGGTCGAGGTTCTGTTTTTAGTGGCAGGCAACTCCCGTATAACTAATAGCATAGCCTGCCTGCAAAAGCTGCTCCAGCGCCAGGGCGGCTGCACCAGGGTCTCTTCTTCGCCTTTCACTCGTCTCGACCACGTCTTTTCGGCCATACCCAGCCCTGCGTCGGCTCTCTCTCTCTATAGAACCTCTTCCGCCGCTATTGCCAGGCCTCCTCTTCTCTCTCGTCCCTGGGAAGTTCGTCTTCGATTTAAACCCACCACGGCTTCAGCGTTACTCAACACGTGACTCTAGCGACTCCTTAAATTACGCGGATGGATGTTTCAGCGCTTAAGAGAAGAGCGAACGAGAGAACATGATATTCGTTGCATCCATCTTCCCACCAATCCTCGGGTCTCCGCCGCCCTCTTAGAGTGGTTTCACCACTGCACCACTTAGCACCGAAGCTATTCCGGCCATGCAAAAGATTTTTTTTTTGGCTCTCTCTTCTCTCTTCTCACCAGAAGGGGAAGATGCTACGCGAGCGGCCCTCCCCCCCTCCCCCCCTCTCCCTTAGCCCCCGGCTGGCCCGCAAGACAGACCACAAGCATGCATCCAGAAGGGAAGAAGGAAATAAACCCTTTCTACTCGCCACGTACCGGATAATCCATGGAGATGGGGAGTTCCTGTCACTATCTAGACTTTTGAGGGTTTTTTGTCCCAGACTCTCTGGCTTCTTAACCGCCCCAGGCTGGTTGACTTTATAAGCCCCTTGCGTCTGCAGCTATGGGGACCCCCTGCCCGGTTGGCTGTGGGTTCTTCGCCGGAGCGTACCCTCTCTTCTGCCTTTTTCCTTTTTCTTTTTTATCTCTCTTTTTCTTTTTCTTCTTTCGCCCATTCTCCCGGGGGGTGTCATGTATCATGGCCGTTTCTGATCAGGCAGTTAATTAGTATGAAAACCCTCGATGGCCTTCATATTATGGCCTTCTTGGCCTCATTTCTCTCGTTGATGCTCTTCTCTTTCGTATCTGGATGCTTCTGGTTCTCTCTCTCCTCTTCATATACCATATACTAATGCTCTTTTTG